TGTGTGTGTGTGTGTGTGTGTGTGTGTGTGTGTGTGTGTGTGTGTGTGTGTGTGTGTGTGTGTGTGTGTGTGTGTGTGTGTGTGTGTGTGTGTGTGTGTGTGTGTGTGTGTGTGTGTGTGTGTGTGTGTGTGTGTGTCTATTAAGCGTTGTGTCTGTGTGTCTATTAAGCATTGTGTGTGTGTGTGTGTGTCTGTGTCTATATGTCCTATTAAGCGGTGTGTGTGTGTGTCTGTGTTTATATGTCCTGTGTGTGTGTGTTTGCGTCACACAGTGCAGTTCAGCTAGTGTGGGTGTATCAGGAAGCAGAAACGCAGCCAGTCTGTCGCTGATCTCCCAGAATGCTCTCTGTGCTGCCGGTGTCTGGGCTGAGGTTTTTCCTCTGGGGTTTGTCTCCAGGATCTGGCTGTGTTCCTGGGCTTCAGGCTTTAGTCACAGCGCTGTGGATTATTTATGTGCTGAGTAATTTCAGTGCGGCTCCAGCGCGGTGTTGATGGACCGGCTTCACATTTCTGTTTCCTGCCGTCCAGATCCGCGCACGCATTTTAAAGAGGCGTGGATGGAAAATGTTGACCCAGTGATGCAAATGATCTGAGCAAACAAGCGACACGAGCCTCAGTCTAGCCAGAGAAGAGCAGCTTTCACTTTCACATTACATTAATAAAGCTGGATGATACTGGATGTAGAAGATTATTTCACTATCAATAATAATAATATTAAGGTTTGAATTTCAATCTCAATTACAGGTTTCAGAATTGGTTATGTTTAATTTACCAACACAAATAATATGTAATAATATGTAATAATAATATAATATAATATAATATAATATAATATAATATAATATAATATAATATAATATAATATAATATAATATAATATAACGTAATATAATATAATATAATATAATAATAATTTATAATAATATAATATAATATAATATAATAATATAATATAATAATATAACAACATGATATAATATAACGTAATATAATATAATAATAATTTAATATAATATAATATAACATAATATAATAATATAATATAATATAATATAATATAATATAATATAACATAATAATATAATATAACATAACATAATATGATATAATATAATATAATAATAATAATAATATAACATAACATAGCATAACGTAATATAATATAATATAACATAACATAATATAATAATAATATAATATAATATAATATAATATAATATAACATAAGGTAATATAATATAATAATAATATAATATAATATAACATAATAACATACAATGTGATATAATAACATATGATATTATATAATATAATATAATATAATATATTTATAATATAATATAACATAATATAATAATATAATAATAGTATAATATAATATAATATAATATATTTATAATATAATATAACAATATAATATAACATAATATAATATAATTATAATATAATATAACATAACATAATATAATAATATAATATTATTTAATATAATTTCTGTGTGGAGTTTGCATGTTCTCCTCGTTTTGGCGTGGATTTCCTCCGGGTGCTCCGGCTTCCCTCACAGTCCAAATACATGCGCTATACATAAATTGAATAAACTAAATTGTGTGTGAAGGAGTGCGTATGGGTCTTTACCATTACTGGGTTGCGGCTGGAAAAGCATCCACTGCATAGAACATATGTTGGAATAGTTGGCAGATTTCTTCAACGCATTTCTAAACAGAATAGAATAACAGTAAATATTGTTTGACTAGATGTTGACTAGATACTGTGAAATGTCCTTGCTCTGTGAAACATCATTTGGGGAATATGTAAAAAAGAAAAAAATCATAAGGGGGCAGAATAATTCTGACTTCAACTGACATTCATTCATTCATTCATTCATTCGTTTTCTTTTTGACTTAATTAATCTGGGGTCACCACAGCAGAATGAACCGCCAACTTATATGTTTTATGCAGCAGATGCCCTTCCAGCTGGGAAACACCCATACACACCCATTCACATTCATACATGCACTATGAACAATTTAATCTATTCAATCCACCTGTACCGCATGTCTTTTGGACTTGTGGGTGAAACCAGAGCACCCGAAGGAAACCCATGCAAACATGCAAACTCCACACAGAAATGCCAACTCACCCAGCCGAGGCTCGAACCAGTAACTTTCTTGCTGTGAGGCAACACTACCCACTGCGCCACGCATATGTATATATAAACAGTGTTCAGCATAATGGAGTACAGCCCATTTAATTTGAAAATTAATATTTGTCTCAGCTATAATAATTTTCTCAGTGAATATAGGCAGTGTATTTTGGTGAAATCAGACAAAACAGATTTATTAAACGGATATATTTATTAAAATATTATTTTAGCCACCAAACATCTTTGGAAATCAAAAGATAATACAATTAAATTCAAGCAAAATATTGCAAAAACAAATTGCAACCTACAAAATTTCAACAAATTATTCTTTTTTTGCTTCTCTCGATTTTTCCTTCTTTTTAAATTTGTATTTAATATTTTTCCATAACATATAAATTTGGCTGTACTAGTTTTTGCACCGCTATCGTAAGTTATTTTGTTAGATGAGCTCCAGATTTGGTTCAGTACTGACTAATCTAATGTTTGTGCACAAATAAAATATTGCAAAGCTTCCTATTAAAAATATGAATTTAAAAGAGAGATTTGTGGGGGTGTACTCATATGTTAAGCTGCATGCGTGCGTGCGTGTGAGCGTTTGTGCGAGCGTGTGTGCGTGTGTTTGTGCGTGTGCATGTGTGTGCATGTGTGCGTGCGTGTTATTTATATATTTATTTTATGGAGATTCTACTTTTAAAGAAATATTATTTATTATTATTATTAATAAAATATTACTTGACTATAATATTTTTTTTCAGATTCTTTATTTTGTCACACTTGTGCACCTTATAGTAGTTTATTAGTATATATAGTAGTTTGTTAAATTTTGACCTTAAAATGGCTTTAAAAAAAAAAAAAC